ATATAAGAGATAAAGAGAGAGAGATTGCAAACATGTACTCAGCAATTTTAGCGAGGTTCGGAAACTCTTACTCTTCGGCTCAAGACCCCTCTTGAGACTTCCCAATCCATTATGGCTCCTTCTTATGGGTGGAAGGCAAAACATTTACAAGAAACACCTCCTTGCTTCAAATTGCTAAGAGAAACACATTTTCTTAATCTTCCTTGGGCCACACCAGTCCTTACAAAGTTTGAAGAAGAAAATTGAAGTACAAGATAATCTCTCACAGATTTGTAGTACAAATTTCAGCTCACTCTAGAGTATGTATGAATAGATTGAAACTCAATACTTTATTGATGATATGAAGTGTATGAATGGTAGGACAAAGGCTCTTTGATTGCAAGGATATATTTCTCAGAGGTTGTAATTACAATTTTATGAAGACTATAACTTATTATATAGAGTTTTAGTTGTGTCTAATGTATTTTCTAGCTGTTGGACACACAGTTCGAGGTAATATAACCGTTTGAATTTGAATCTGCGCTAAGTCGGTCGACTGAAATGAATCATTAGTTTGTTTCGGTCGTCCGAAACAACTTAAGCATGTCTTGTAATTTTTACTTTGGTCGGCCGAAATGAATTAGGCTTTTATTTCAGTCGTCCGAAATAACTTGAGTCCTTGTTGCATGGCCAATGTTAAAATTAGTCATCCGATTCATATTATCTTTCTATTTCGGTCAATCGAAATAGCCTGAGGTCTTGTTGCATAGCTATACTTCGATCGTCCAAAATAGCATTTCGGTCGACCGGTTGTGACTTCAGTTTTTAGCTTACTTACTGTCAAGATCGGTCGTCCGTTTCAAATTGGCCTTCAATTTCGGTCGACCGAAATTGAACTTCACCTTTAAGAAACTTGTCTAAGTTATAAATGATGTTTATTTTTTATGTTTCTTGATTATCATGCAAGTGATTAATGTATAAGCTTTAAAATGTTCATTCATACTTTGACAAAGGTTCCTAAAAGCTCACCATCTTAGCTACCCCATTTGATTGACATGATCTTGATGACTTCCTTTTTGACCTTTATTCCTTTGTGAACTTTTCCCGTATCTTCATAATGCTCCTTTTCATTTGTGCTTTACATGTAATGTCTTGTCTTGATGAGTGCTTAGACCTGTAATTTTGCTCAAGGTAGACATTAGAACACATAGAACATCATTAATGAATTATAATCATCAAAAGCCTTAGATTCAAGGTCAACAATCTCCCCCTTTTTGAAAATGACAATTCATTGATGTGTTTGATAAATAAGAGTGAAAGTATTGAACAGTGCTCCCCCTATCAATGTGCATAGTTTTGAAAATGAAATTATACATGTAAGAGATTACAAATCTCCCCCTTTCTTTGTACATTTATCATTTGAGATTTATCATAGCATATTCAAGATATGTATAACTTTAAAATTCCACACATGATTGATATGAGGTCAACACATCTATTTTATTAGAATAATTATCAATAAAATGTCATATCTTAGCATATATGTTCAAAACATGTATTTTTCATAAACTAATCAATAAAGCACAGAGCCATTACATTGACACTACACATCATTCTTGCTACATATCATCATTTCTCCCGCTTTGTCATTCATCAAAAAGGTGGGGGGGGGGGGGGGGGACACAATAAAAATGAGGGAGTCCTGTAGCTCGAAAATCAGCAAGGTCGTGCTTTACAAGGTCAACTTCATTTGCAACTTCTTCGACCCATTCGCGTAAAGCTAGAATGTATTCCCTATTCTCTTTGGCAATGTCAATTTGCTCTTTGGAAAGAGCAATATTTTCTAATAATAGCTCACGAAGAGCTGTCTTCTAATGGAGGAGCTAGATGATCATCAGTTGCTTCTTGTTCTCCTCCTTCTCCTTCCACTACTTCTCCTTCTTCTTCTTCTCCAACTGCAGCATCTTCCTATTCTTGTTGCTCTGCCATAGCCATAATCTCTTGGCCTACATTTGCTGGATTATCGAATTTAGGGTCATACCAAGTATTGTTTTCAGATTTTTTGAGACCCGTTCGGTCAAGCAGATCTTTGTCAACCCGATAGAGATTAGTTAACTCTTGTTCATCCTCTCTTGCTATCCAAACTTTGTTGGCTCTGAATATCATGGTAAGAACCATGGCATAGAATAAATGGGTTTTCTTCTTCTTGGCTATAGCCTTTTGCAACAAGTCTAGCCTTATTCCTTACAATAGTTCCCAATTCATCCTTTTTGTTCCTAAATACCTATTTTGTGCCGATGATTATTTTATTTTGAGGTTTAGGGACAAGATGCCAAACTTTATTCCTTTTGAATTGAATAAGTTTTTCTTGCATAGCCAAAAGCCAAGATTCATCATTTTCAGCTTCATGTATACTTTTAGGTTCGAATCGAGAAACAAATGCTACAAAATTGCTTATATTTCTTAATTGTAACCTTGTACTAACACCTTTGGATGGATCACCAATAACTTGGTCTAATGGATGATTATGAACTAACTTCCATTCATTTGGAGTAGTTTTATTTTGAGAGATGTCATTACTAGAATTAGTCTTTTGAGAGATATCAATAAGAGAATCATCTATATTGAGTTCATTGATACTTTTCTCAAGCTCAATGAGAGACTCATTTTGATTGAGTTCATTGGAGCACTTTTCATGTTCAATCTCTTCATCATTGTCCATCATACTATTTATAGGTGGAGTTGTGGATTCATCAAATACTACATGTATAGATTCAACCACAACCAAGGTCATCTTATTGTAGCCTCTAAATGCTTTGCTTCTAGAGGAGTAGCCAAGAAAAATGCCTTCATCGAATTTAGCATCAAATTTTCCTAGATTGTCTTTATCATTAAGAACAAAACATTTACACCCAAAAACCTTGAAATAACCTATATTAGGTTTCCTTTTGTTCCATAATTCATAGGGTGTCATGTTGAGAATTTTTCTAATGACAACTCTATTTATAACATAGCATGAGGTGTTAACGGCTTCGGCCCATAGAGATCTAAGTGTTTTATGTTCATTTAGCATTGTTCCAGCCATCTCTTGAAGAGACATATTCTTCCTTTTAACAACTCCATTTTGTTGAGGAGTTCTAGGTGCCGAAAGATTGTGATTATAGCTATTTTCGTCACAAAATCTTTTTACGTCTTGATTTTCAAATTCTTTACCCCTATCACTTCTAATAGTCTTAATCTTACACTCCTTTTCGTTTTCGACTCTTTTGCAAAATTTTGAAAGAATTATATGAGCTTCATTTTTGTGTGCAAGAAAGAATACCCAAGAGAATCTAGAGTAGTCATCAACAATTACAAAAACATAGAGTTTTCTACCAAGACTAGCAATTTTTTTCGGCCCAAATAAATCCATATGAATTAATTCAAGAGGCTTAGAAGATGTTATATCCTTTTTCCTTTTGAAAGAAGATTTGACTTGCTTACCTATTTGACAACCACTACAAGGTTTGTCTTTTGAAAAATTAGTTCTTGGGAGACCTTTGACTAATTTATTTTTAGACAATCTTGAAATCAAATCCATGCTAGCATGTCCTAACCTTCTATGCCACAACCAACTGTTTTCATTTGATGACATAAAACATTTAACATCTTGATCATGAAGTTCACCCAAAAGCAAAGTATACACATTACCACTCCAAGGGCACAAAATATTTGAGTTTCATTCTTTTTAACAATGCATTTATCCATTTTTAAAATCACATCAAATCCCTTGTCACATAGTTGACTAACACTAAATAAATTATGCTTTAATCCTTCAACAAGTAAGACAATATCAATAGATAAGGAGGAAGAGATACCTATGGTTTTGATAACAATCACCTTGCCTTTAGAATTGTCTCCAAATGTGATGTTTCCTCTGTTGTATGCTTTTAAAGAAAAGAATTTTGAGTAGTCGCCCGTCATATGTCTTGAACATCCGCTATCTAGAAACCACTTGTCTTTGAAGGATGAGGATACCTTTAAACCATCCTACAAAAGAAATTTTAAATAATCTTCACTTGGTACCCAAATTTTGTTGGGTCCGTAAGAGTTAGGAAGCGGCATGTATGTTCCTTTAGGAACCCATTTCTTTATGATTTTCAGCCTTTTCTTTGAGCAATCTTGGATAAGATGACCTATTCTTTTACAATAGTTACATCTAATATTCTTGGCTTCATTTTTTACAAAATAGTTAACCAAAGGCTTTCTCTTTTTCAATAGGCATGCATTTTTATCAAAAGGATCATATCCTACTCCATGTTTATGAAAAACACTTCTTTGGCTACCTAGCATAAGTTCCAGATTTTTCATACCTTGAGTAAACTTTGCTAGACCATCAATTTGGTCTTCAATAATTTATTTCAAGGATTCGTTTTCAGAAATAAGATCATATGATGCTGATTCTTTTAGTAAGATACATTCCTTTTTTAAACAATCATTTTCATTTTGAATAGTTTGAAGTTTGTTATCAAGGATGAGTTTTTCTCTTCTTAAAGAAGCACATTTTTTGACCATTTTACCTAGTTCATCATGTAATTATTTAAAAGAATCAAGTAGTCTATTATAAGCATAAGCCAAATCATCAAAAGACATTTCACATTCAGATGAAGAGTTAAGGTTAGAGTTTACTCATCTTTATTTGCCATGAGACAGAGAATAGCCTTTTTCTCATCGCTTTTAAAACCGTTTGATTCATCATCTTCCCAAGTGGCTTGTATTGCTCTTCTTTTTCTCTTCTTCTCTTTATAAATAAGACAATCAGCTTTGAAATGCCCTGGTTTTCCACAATGAAAACAAGTAGGGGTGTCTTGTTTACCTTGTTCATCGGATGATTCACCCTTTTTGAATCTACCCTTGTTGAATTTCTTCCTTTGAAGAAATCTTTTGAAGGATTGAGTAATAAGGGCCAGATCATCATTTTCACTTTCATTGCCAGCAACTTCCTTTTCCATTTGAGGGGATCTGAGAGTAATTTCTTTCTTTCAGTGATGGTCTCCTTCTCTATCTTTAAGGGTGATCTCCCATGTAAGAAGGGAGCCTATGAGTTCATCAAGCTCAAGTGTGTTGAGATTGTGAGCCTCCTTAATTGTTGTAACCTTTGCATCCCATTTTTCAGTTAAGCTTCTTAGAATTTTCCTTCCAAGATCAGAATTAGTAATAGTTCTACCAAGATGCTTCAAGCCATTTATAATGTCAGTAAATCTCACAAACATTTCATTTATAAACTCATTTTCAATCATGTGAAATAGTTCATATTGATGCATAAGAATATCAATTCTAGATTCTCGAACTTGTGATGTTCCTTCATAGGTAATTTGAAGTTTATCCCAGATTTCCTTAGCTGTGGTGCATGTAGAAACTCTATTGTACTCACTAGGACTTATAGTACAATTTAGATTTACTTTGGCTTTAGCATTTAGGGAGGTGAGTTTATAATCCTCGGTGTTCCATTTTTCTTCAATTTTAGGAACTCTTTTTGTATCAACTATTTTCATTGGAACAAATGGCCCATTAACTATGACAAGCCAAATTTGATAGTTTACGGATTGAAGGAAGTCTATCATTCTATTTTTTTAATAACCATAGTTTGTACCATCGAACCAAGGAGGTCTGGAATTTGATTGATCTTCTTGATGAAAGTGACCATTTAAGTTTGCCATGATCGTTTTCTAATGCACTTAAGCCTTTTCAATAGAAATTAGACTCTAATACCAATTGTTACCCAAGAATTGACTCTAAAGGGGGGTGAATAAAGTCTTGGCAATTAATGGTCAATTTTTGATTTCAATTATAATGCAAGTATTGAGCTAATTTTCTTAGCAATTGTTCAATGAAACAAACAGAGTTTTAAGCAACAGAAATCATTTTATCAAGTGAACGTACATGCTAAACTTTGAGAAATAAATATAACAGATAAAGAGAGAAAGATAGAGAGATTGTAAACATGTACTCAGTGATTTTAGCGAGGTTCGGAAACTCCTACTCCTCGGCTCAAGACCCCTCTTGAGACTTCTCAATCCACTATGACTCCTCCTTACGGGTGGAGAGCAAACCATTTACAAGAAACACCTCCTTACTTTAAATTACTAACAGAAATACCTTCTCTTAGTCTTCCTTGAGCCATACCAGCCCTTACAAAGTTTGAAGAAGAAAATTAAAGTACAAGATAATCTCTCATAGATTTATAGTACAAATTTCAACTCACTCTAGAGTATGTATGAATAAATTGAAACTCAATACTCTATTGATGATATGAAGTATATGAATAGTAGGACAAAGGCTCTTTGATTGCAAGGATATATTTCTCAGAGGTTACAATTATAATTTTATGAAGGCTATAACTCATTATATTGAGTTTTAGTTGTGTCTGATGTATTTTCTAGCTGCTGGACACACAGTTTGAGGTAATATAGCCGTTTAAATTTGAATCTATGCTAAGACGGTGGACCGAAAAGAATTATCAGTTTGTTTCAGTCGTCCGAAACACCTTAAGCCTGTCTTGCAATTTTTACTTCGGTCGGCCGAAATGAATTAGGCTTTTATTTCGTCGTCCGAAATAACTTGAGTCCTTGTTGCATAGCCACTGTTAAAATCGGTCGTCCGATTCATATTGTCTTTCTATTTCGGTCGACCGAAATAGCCTGAGGTCTTGTTACATAGCTATACTTCAGTCGTCCGAAATAGCATTTCAGTCGACCGGTTGTGACTTCAGTTTTTAGCTTAGCTACTGTCAAGATCGTCGTCCGTTTCAAATTGTCCTTCCATTTCGGTCGACCGAAATGGAACTTCACCTTCAAGAAAATTGTTCTAAGTTATAGATGATGTTTATTCTTTATATTCCTTGATTATCATGCAAGTGATTAATGTATGACCCTAGATGTGAGCTTTAAAATGTTCATTCATACTTTGACAAAAGTTCCTAAAAGCTCACCATCTTAGCTACCCCATTTGATTGACATGATCTTGATGACTTCCTTTTAGACCTTGATTCCTTTGTGAACTTTTTCCGTATCTTTATGATGTTCTTTTTCATTTGTGCTTTACATATAATGTCTTGTCTTGATGAGTGCTTAGATCTGTAATTTTGCTCAAGGTAGACATTAGAACACATAGAACATCATTAATGAATTATAATCATCAAAAGCCTTAGATTCAAGGTCAACACTAATAACTTAAGCTTTTTGATAAATGGATAAGTTCTCACCCGTTACAACTAGCTAGTTGCTCATGCTAGTTTTCGGCCAAATCCAGCCGTTTAAACTCCTGAAATCGTGTTTCTCACTCCTATAGGAACATTGAAATATTTTAGGATTTTTGTTTGTGGCCTAAAGAAGTTACATTATTCTAAATTTTGGTATTTGGTGTTTTTTAGTGATTAAGTTTCTTATTAGAATTTATTTTTGGACTTATTTTTACAGTTTTGTTTATGTTTTTGGGTTTAGTTATGATATTAGGTTTGCTTATACTATTAGTGTTCTTTTTAAGTGTTAGTTTTTTTCTATTCTAAATTTGCATGTACTCATAACCAGTTCAATTATAAATAACATATCAAAATTGTCGACAATTATTTTTTAACTCTATGAATTTAAAGTTGTTCTCTTATTCATTCATGAAAGTTACATAGCTTCGTCAATAAATAATCAGTGTGACTAGGCACGGATCTGTTAATGGCTTAGTGGGGGTGCCCTTACTAATTTTTTTTATTTTTACATTTTATACCCCTAAAATTGTACTTTTTTGTATTTATACCAATAAAATTTTGAAATTGCCCCAATTGAAATTATGAAAAACCCCTTTATATAAATTTCCCCCGCTCATATGAATTCCTAGATCCGTCTTTAAGTGTGACCATACAAACACGCCCAAAAATATATATATATATATATATATAATGGGCAAGGAACAAAAAGTGATTAAATTCATTTTCTACAGATATAAAGTGTTATACCTTTAGGGAATTTGTAGATTCCCAACTAAGCGAACACTTTAATCTCCTTTTCCAAGCTCCAAGCTCCAAGCTCACTTTCAATGGCTTATTGCCCCCAAATGCTTCACTACTATGACCACATCTTGAAAACCGCAAACTTAAAATGGTGTGACTCTTCAGAGTATAGTAAGAACCCTTAGAGAGCTATGTAGTGTGGATAGAGAGAATGTCTCATATCTCATGTAAGAAAAGTTATGGTTAGTAATCCACAATACAACATTTATATAGAATTGACCTAAGAGTGCTCTCCCCAAGTCTTACTAATATAACTCCATTGCTTGTATTTTAACATTAGGCTAGAAGTGAGATCTAGTTGGGCCCATCCACTTGGCTTTATTGGGTTTTTTAAAAGACCAAGTCATCTCATTACCCAATTAAATAACTTATTAACTAAATTTAACTCCGCTATATAAGAATGGTTGTAATGAATAGTAAAGCCACCATGTTAATTTACAAGATGACCCTTCATGCATAATTAGCCAACAAATTAAATAATGCCATCAAATCATTGTCTTTGATTTTCTGATTAATCCGCTAGATAAATAAAGTTTTTTCTTTAATAAAATAAAATAATATATTTAATAAAACCATTTAATAAAAAACACTAAGGCTATGTTTGGTGTGGGTGAATGAAATCAAATAAGAGGGAATGTAATGCTTTTCTTTCCATTCTTGTGTTTGGTGTGGGCTATTAAATGTGGTATCATCATTCCTCACCATTCTAGAAGAATGGTCATGTGACAGCCCGAATTTCATAGAACACGGTGCGTCAGTGAGTAATCTAAAAATTGACCCGATAACGAGTCCGAAAAACGAAAGTAATAAAAGAAAAGAGGTCTCTAGAGATAGAAATTACCTCTAATACAACAAAGTGACCTTCTAAGAAGTCATGAAACTCAAAGAGAAAATGAATGCGGAAGCTAAGACTAAAACGAACAAAAAATAAAGACAAGGGTAAAATGGTCATGTTACCCCAAAAGAAGGAAATTTGACTCACAACAAGTCAAATGAAACCAAAATAACCCAATGAGATCCTTTGTTAACCTCATATGAAGTCCTAAGGTCATTGGAAGTGAATTCCCACGAAAACCCTATCCCGGTTCGAATAAAATCCCGATACTGTTCCACTAAAATGATTATATCTCTTAATAGGAATTGAATCTAAAAATGGTATTGGTACCATTGGAAGTCTGACTCAAAATCCTTGAATTTAGACTCAAGAATCACCTAATTTGAACTTAAAATGAGTAAGTTATGCCCCAACAAGATCGGGTATGAAAACTGTCCAACTCGAACCTATATGTGACGGCCCCAACTCGTCCGAAATGATGTGTCGGTCGACCAAAATTGCTAGAAAATCAGTAGAGACTCTGCTAATGCACCAAAAAATGAAAAGGAACCTATAAGTCTCATTTTACCCTCATGCATTGGTCCAACATGTAAACTTAAAGGTGTACAAGTGTGTGAACATGCCAACAAATATAATATACATAGAGAAATTAGATACATGTGGCTTTAAGGCCTCATTACATATCAAGTCCAAAAGTGAAAACCATACACCCAGGGTTGCAAAAATATACAAAAAGAGCATGTTAAACACTTTGCACGCATCCAAAACAGAAGTATCCATGACACTAAATCCAAAACCAACTAAGAGAAATAGCCCTCCATAAAGAGAACCTCTTTACTTGAAAAATACAAAATCAATTAGGGTGAGTAATTTGAATTACTAATAGGAAATGTATATGCGTATAACCTGAAGTTTTGATGGATTTGCAAATATAATATAAATGAATACATGTGGATCATGCCCCCTAACGTCTAAGTTCTAAGTGGAACTAAGGGATTAACCTAAAGCTACCTTGGAACATTTTGCACATAATCCACAATAAACAAGGATATAAACAACATTGGAATAACCAATACAAACAACAAGTTACAATGACTTAGTATTATCAACTTGGAAACAAAATGCGAAATCAAACATTAGGAATATACTTGGACATCACGTCGGAATAAAACCAACAACAATAGTTACTTTTGGGTTACTAGCCCGTAACCTCCCTAAGTATGTACTAAATTGGGGAGACCTCATAGTTCCCGCACTAGAGTCATACTATAGCCATGTCACAACAACGACGTCCCAAGGATCCAAAATTAACAATTGATACACAACGTATACTAAGTATACAATGCACTTAACTACCTTCCATACACAACCAAATTTGGAATCCATACAATCCACGCCCTAAGTCCTTAACTATAATGGCATTTATAATGACAAGTTATAATGTGAATTAAATCAAGTTAGTGCTATGAGTTTCAAATCCATGATTTAAACAACAATGTAGTATCAACTACACAATCAAATCATCGGCAAGAATAATATAGAATTTCTATAATCACACTAATAAAATCTTTAGATTTCAAATCATCACCAATTGAAATAATATCAATATAAGATAAGAGTCATACATAAGCCTTAAACAATATAAAGCCCTAAGGTAA